ATATATATATATAATTTCATGACTTTTGGGACACACCTTGTACACCTTAGGCACAGACACATGCATTGTCGACAACATAATTACTAAAACTAGTAATAAAATCCATATCTAAAATGTATGTAGGCACATTCAAGTGACTTGTATGGCCGCGCCACAGCTGAAGGGTTTAGTCGATGGCTTCCCACCGCAGCGGACTGGGTTCGATCCCGGGTTTGGTCAAGTGGGATTTGTGGTGGAGAAAGTGGCGCTGGGGCGGGTTTTCTCCGAGTACTTCGGTTTCCCCTGCTAATATTCATTCCACCAAGTTCTCCTTCATCATAATCACCCGGTGGTAGGATACGATAGGCCAATCAGTGGCTGCTGTGCACAGTCAACCCAGTTGGACTCCGCCACCCACTAAGCGAATTTAATTTTTTCAAGTGACTTAACAGCTGCTTTGGAGTGGGAAAACAAGTCAAGGCCTAATATGACGCTATGTAGCCTAAAATACTAAGAGCATCACAAAATAAACCTTAAATAACCCACACTTGCCAAAACACTTGTAGGATACCTGTAGATTCTAAAGGTTTCTGGAATCGCTAGATTTTTGGACTTTGTCCATCATCCTGCTAGAACGAGCTCTTTCTAATGGACCCAGCAGAGTAGTTGTGCCTCCCCCCCCTTCAAAAGAGGACTGAAACAGACCCAGTTCCTGATACGGTACATCCTCTTTTTTTGTGAACACCAGACAATGAAGACAATCCAAAAACCCAGGAAGTGATTCTGAGTGATATACAATACCAAGTTTAAATTCTGAATTTTGGTGAATGAAGCGTAAGTCAGAAACATTTTTTCTTCTTCTTCAGTTAAGGCACAGGCTTCTGTGTCACGTTCAGAGTCTCATTGTTATTCCGCCCATCTTTCTCTTTCATATTTCTTATATCCCAAGGTCTGTACTGTTATTTGTCTCTTCATCCAGCCTTTCCACATGGCTCTGCATTGCCTTCTGCATGTCAGTCCCTCTGCCGCATCAGCTACACTAAGCGGCTGTTCTGCTGCGCACAGCATGTGTTCACAATGTGACCTAAAATATATATACATTAAAACAGTTTCTGAGCTAGTGGGATGAGAGGTCTCAAAAATAATTAATGATAACTAACTCAGCTCCCTGGAGTTACTTACATATTACTAAACTGAAAAACACATACTGCAAAAATACGTTTCTTGGAAGCATTGCTTTAGTCTGGTGGGAATACAGGGTTCGATAAACTGAATGGATGGATGTGAGTCACTGCCTCAAGTATATCTATGCATAGCATATTGTACTACCCCAATGTATATAGTTATTAGTTAGTTATTTAGAGGGTGGGTTCCCCATGCACCACGACCAGTTTGATCTATTGTGCTTCCCTTTATCATATTCTACCAGTCTCTATACCCTACCAATAAATGGTGCGTACCATCAGTCCCGCCAAGCAAGCGAGTTCGGCCACTTGCTTAGCGGTGTCTATAAAGCTTCCCCCAACTATCAGAGGCCTTAGAGACTATTGTTGGGCGGGAAACGTCCTGGAATTTGGCTCAGTGATCCCCTTTGGGGATATGAGGTTCTTTTATGTGCCGTTAAGTTACAACATGGAACACACAGCTTAAAGTCCCTCCTGATGGACTTTGTCCCTGAATTTTTCTGCCCTTAAAAATTCGATGACCTCCGCCGGGTATTTGAACCCGTGTACCACGAGTCATGAGGTGGGAATGTTACCTCTAGACTACGGAGGCCGCTTACCCCAATGTATATAACAGGAGACCCAGACTTATGGACTATCGGAGACACATTTGGGTTGCTTCAGCAGGCCCGGGTCAACAACAAATTCCAGTTCCAGACAATCAATGGAGAAGTTCAAGTGCTAAATATTAACCAACTTCACACAGCTGCACCTTTTCAGAGAAGCTACTAGTTGCTCAGGTACTCAGTGAATTACCAACATACTATAGAATGCAAGGGTGCATTACCATTCACAGCCAGACACTGGCTCCTATCCTGAGCCAGATGATTTCACTCCATATTCCCTTCTTTAAGCATACAGAATACACAGCATCAGCCTACCTTCACACTTTTCTGAGGACAAATGCAACTTGCATGTCCATTCGTGCACTGCCCACTACTTTATATGGTGAAGACACACAAAATGGAACACATATTCCAGAACCATGCAGCAAGATCAGTTCTGGTGATCCAGCAACAGCCAAAGTGTGGTGACACATGAGGAAGGGCTCTGCTGATGTAGCGTTATTGAGGAACAAATGCATAGAACCTCTATGATTTATTTCAACCGTCTTCCACTGCATACACTCATCTATCTCACTCCTCTCTCTCGCACTACATGTTTCGGCACAAAAGTGCCATCTTCAGGTGCTTATTCGATTTACGTTAAACTAGTTCACTGCATGCCTTGCTGTCTTCATATTAAAATAACTAAAATATATATTTATCATATATATTGATAAATATTAAATGTTAAAAATATTAAAAAATTGTTCAGGATTTTTCATCCCTATGTCGTATCTCACTACGCGAGTCACACCTATCCTCTTCTGTCGGAGCACTCTTTCTACTTTCGTGTGTGTATTGTGCTTTGTGTTGTGTCTTGCTCCTGTGACTGCGTGTGTTATACTGCAAGACGGCAAGGCATGCAGTGATCTAGTTTAACGTAAATCATATAAGCACCTGAAGATGGCACATTTGTGATGAAACATGTAGTGCGAGAGAGAGGAGTGAGATAGATGAGTGCGTGCACTGGAAGACGGTTGAAATAAATCATGGACTTAAATCAGTGTAACAGGATGCTAAAATATAACATTATGCATAGTACATCTTATGCAAAATGAAACAAGCGTTCCCTGGCATGAAAAGTGTCAGTAATCAGAGATCACTTGCTCAGAGTGACCGAGAATTAGCTTCAGTTATGACGCAGCTCACTCAGGCAGTGAAGAAAATGGGCATGGAGGGAGGGGCATAACTGCACTGAAGTTAAGCTATTCCTCTTGTGTCATTCCACTACACGAAACCTCTGAATTCAAATTAATAATATTAATGACATTGCCTAATTTTACTAAAGGATATTTCACAATTTTCAAATGACTCTTTCCCTCTAAGGCAAAGGAGACCTCAAGCAAAAAGGAGTGCCTCAGTGCCAAACCACTTTCTTTTCCGATCTGATGACAGACCGCTCAGTTTCTCTGCTGATATTCACAATGAAAAGATGTAAACAAGTCTTCCTTGATCGTTTCAATTAAATTCTCTGTACTACTTCATTTCTCCACAAGCAGAATAAACCCACCTTTATTAAATTTTCTTTTTATAACCAATATATGAGGAGTGTTCCGTATATAATGCCTATTTTTTTAATGAAAACTACAACAGATACAGAAAGTATAATAATGCAGTTAAATAGAGCAAGATTTCAGCTACTTACAGTTATTTTTCCACATAATCACCACCATTCGTTATGCACTTTTGCCAGCGATGAACAAGAGCCTGTATGCCGCGCCCGTAAAAGTCTGCACCAGCAGAGGCTAGCCACTTTCTTACAGCTGCAATGACAGCATCGTTGTCTGGAAAATGTTGCCCACGTAGCCCATCTTTCATAGGCCCAAAGAGATGGAAGTCTGAAGGTTCTAAATCAGAGCTATAAGGTGCATGTGGTATGGCAGTCCAGCCAAACTTTGTAATGTGGGCGGTGGTCGCCAAACTGGTTTGGGGTCTAGCGTTATTGTGTTGCAAGCGAAAGGTTGCTTCTCTGGCCTGACTCGGGAAATGCGAGCTTTCAGCTTAGTCAGTGTCGTCTTGTAGTGTTCAGAATTGACAGTCTCACCAGGCTCCAGGATATCCAACAAAAGCCTACCCCGCCTATCCCAAAAGACCATGCACATCACTTTCCTTGCCGATGGCTGTGTCTTGAACTTCTGTTTTGTTGGGGACTCCGGATGTCGCCACTCCATGGACTGTCTTTTGGATTCCTACTCGTAGTGGTGACACCACGTCTCATCTCCGGTGATGGTGCTGTCCAGAAACTTGTCACCTTCAGCCTCAAACTGGTGCAACAGGTATTGACAGACTTCCATTCGATGAGTTCTGTGGTCCTGTGTAAGCATTCGTGGGACCCACCTGAACAAACTTTGCGATAATCCAGCTTCCCCAACATCGTTTCCAATGCATTACAGCCAATATTAAGCAGTGCACACAGTTCCCTGGTCATTATCCGCTGATCTGCAAGGATGAGCTGATCAAGGCGCTGTTCATTGTGAGGAGTGGCAGCTGAGCAGGGACGCCCGTGGTGTGGCTTGTCGTGCATATCACTTTCGACACTGTTGAAATGCACTACCCACCAAATCACTGTGCTGACATCCACCACATCATCTCCGTACAACTTTAGCAAGTGTCGATGGATGTCGATGGGTGCAATTTGTTCTGCAGTGAGAAATTCAATAACACATTTCTGTTTCGTACGTACTTCTATGTGAGACGCCATTTTGGTAGACTGCTCTGCTGTCACTATCTGTCGCATGACAAAGAAACTAACAGTACATTGGCGGGAAGGTCCAACCTTTACTACAACACCACCAACATCCAGCTCAGATCTTACATATTAACATAAAAAAATAGGAGGCATTATATATAGAACACCCTTCGTATGAAGTTTGATTTGTTTCATTCTGGACCGTCACACTAAAAATATTATAAAAGATAAAACAATTCCATCCAGTGTGACTGCTGAAGTTTTTACTACTTCAATTCTTAACACCCTTACATGGTTCGGTCCCTACAGACCATCATCAGATGGACATCGATACTGTAAAAACAACACAGCACACCTCGAACAAACAAAGGATATCAAAAACCTCCTCCTCAAGAAAGACAGGTGGCACAAGTTTGGCCCCCTTCAAGAAAGACTATAAGAGAAGGGACATGAACCATTCACTTTATAAATTTTAACTTAAATAACAAAAGTTTTAAAAAACATCAATGCACCAAGACAACCGCTGTAGTTGTGAAAACTTTGGAATTGTATATATTGTGCATTACAAACATTGTATGTGTATATATTTTAACATTCAGAACACCCGTTGTAATTGTGGTCTCCAAAGAGCATGTCCCTCTGATGATGGTCTACAGGCAGAGAAACGTGTACAGGTGTTAAGAATTGAAGTAGTAAAAACTTCAACAGTCACACTGGAAGGAATTGTTTAATCTTTTATAATATATGAAGTATACCGCAGAAATATATCTTGTCTGCAATGTCCAATACAGCGTAGTTTGTATTCATCTGACCATTCTACCTAAACATACTCAATCAAAGCGATATATCAATATGAAACTAACTGATCAATGAATTTACTCACATGTAATGGCAGAAGAGCAAAGATAACACAGCGAAAAGCATATGATGCTGCTGAATTATGTGTATAAGCTGTCGATCCGTTTCAGTGACTACAATCTACTTATCATTAGCTTCCAGTGCTAAATTAACATCATAACTGCAGAAGAATGTCATGTCATATCTGTTTCCACTTAACAAGACAGGGCATTTTGCACATTCAGCAATCAGAATCAAATGGAACTTATTTGCACAGATGTCTTGTACCATGGGACTCAGTTCATTTCCCATCAGTTACAAAGGCTAGCAACAGCAATCAACTCCAATATATTGTAGCATTCTACAAAACTGAAGTATGCCACATACAGAAAAACTGTCTTACTTACAACATGAAAAACTGTGGCATGCTACAAGTCACATTCTGTTCCTTTAGTCTAAACCAGTCTCTACTGCTCTATGATTTACTGCACAAATCAACATGTATGTGATGATGTCTCTTCAGGCTACTCTGATGACTGAATGACTTTTCACAAACATCACAGCAAAATGGCTTCTCCCCACTATGTATAAGTTGGTGTTTCTTCAGATGACTGCTGACTAAATGACTTATTACATACATCACAGCAAAATGGCTGCTCCCCACAATGTATGCGCTGATGTTTTGTCAGACGACTCTGCGGACTAAATGACTTTTTACATACATCACAGTAAAATGGCTGCTCCCCACTGTGTATGTGCTGATGTTTCTTCAGAGTACTCTGATCACTGAATGACTTATCACATACATCACAGCAAAATGGCTGCTCCCCACTGTGTATGTGCTGATGTTTCTTCAGAGTACTCTGATCACTGAATGACTTATCACATACATCACAGCAAAATGGCTGCTCCCCACTGTGTATGTGCTGATGTTTCTTCAGAGTACTCTGATCACTGAATGACTTATCACATACATCACAGCAAAATGGCTGCTCCCCACTGTGTATGTGCTGATGTTTCTTCAGAGTACTCTGATCACTGAATGACTTATCACATACATCACAGCAAAATGGCTGCTCCCCACTGTGTATGTGCTGATGTTTCTTCAGAGTACTCTGATCACTGAATGACTTATCACATACATCACAGCAAAATGGCTGCTCCCCACTATGTATGCACTGATGTTTCTTCAGATAACTCTGCTGACGAAATGACTTATTACATACATCACAGAAAAATGGCTGCTCCCCAAGATGTATGCACTGATGTGTCCTCAGAAGACTCTGCTGACTAAATGACTTTTTACATACATCACAGCAAAATGGCTGGTCCCCACTATGTATGCGCTGATGTTTCTTCAGATGACTCTGCTGACTAAATGACTTATTACATACATCACAACAAAATGGCTTCTCCCCACTATGTAATCGTTGGTGTATCTTCAGACTACTCTGATCACTGAATGACTTATTACATAAATCACAACAAAATGGCTTCTCCCCACTATGTATACGTTGGTGTTTCTTCAGATGACTGCTGACTAAATGACTTATTACATACATCACAGCAAAATTGCTTCTCCCCACTATGTAATCGTTGGTGTCTCTTCAGAGTACTCTGATCACTGAATGACTTATTACATAAATCACAACAAAATGGCTTCTCCCCACTATGTATGTGCTGATGTCTCTTAAGATGACCGTGCTGACTAAATGACTTATTACATACATCACAGCAAAGTGGCTGCTCCCCACTATGTATATGTATGCTCTGATGTGCTCTCAGAATTATCTGCTGACTGAATGAATCTCCACACTCAACACAGGAATATCGTCGCTCCTCACCATGTACTGGTTGAAGTACATTCAAATTCCCCTGGAAAATGAGAGTAAATAACATGAAAAATCCTAATAGGAAGAGAAATAAGATTGAAGCCCCAGTACAGCGGGATGTTAAATTGGTAGGCATGAGAGTGATGACAGAGAGGGGAGGGAAGGACAGAGAGAGCTCACCCCCCTGTGTGGTGTGCGCCGAGTCCATCAGTATGTATGGAGGTGTCTCATTCAACAGACATTAAGGAGCACTGCCACTGTTTAACAAATTGCAAATTAAATAAAATTATGCATTTGTAAGGCTGGACAGGCATCTAACAAACAGTGGATATGCCACTAAAATGAAATAACAAAAAGGGCTGAGCTAAAAATGATACTAAGAAAGGCTGCATATGGCCCGGCATAACCTCCTTACACGTGACAATATATATATATATATATACACAGGGTGTCCCAGGAGTTTGGTGCCATACTTCAGGAGCGTACTGAGGGTTCCCTATAGAATAACTTTGAAATAGGAACTCATGTGCGCAAATGTAAAACAGCAGCGCTGGGGCGGCATTTAATATCATTTCATTTAAACTTGGTGCCTCAATTTCGAACTGCATTGCATAGAGGAACAGCCATCCACCAGCACTCGTGCCATTGCCAAGATGGTGGGGACATCAAAATCAAGTGTTTGGAGGATCCTGCATGTCCAACACGAGTACACGACGTAGGTACAGCTGACTTCATACCATGAGTTCAATTTTTTCAGTGGATACTGAACCAGTGTTTACATCAGCCCAACTTCCTGAATCACGTGTTATTCAAAGATGAAGCGCAGCTTACAAGGGATGGCTGGTTCAACTGTTGAAACAGCCACATTTGGGCTGACGAAAACCCCAACATTACTGTAGCTGGTTACCACCAGGCGCAATTTTCTGTCAATGTCTGGGCGGGCATCATTGGGGATCACTTGATTGGGCCTTTCCCCTTACCACCGCGACTCAATGGGCCCATTTACAAGGTGTTACTGGAATGTATGCTTCCAACTTTGCTAGAAGACGTGCCACTGATTGTGTGGAGACAAATGTGGATACAGCATGAGGAAGAGCCAGCACACTTCAGCATTATATCAC